AGCATTATTTGTTAAAAGTACAAAACAGAATGCCTCTAAAAAACTATTTCATGAAACAAATTTGGAGTCAAAACATTTGTATCTTAATAGATAGCCTCCTTTTATTTGGGCATCTAGTTAGCTAGGAGATGAGGGTGAAAAATAAAGCCCCAGAGTGGAAGGATCAGCCTGTGGGATCTGTGGCCCACCTGTTGCTGCCTTCCTCTATCAATTGACTGTGTTTATACATGCAAATAACTATAGCTACTTGTTAAAGTTTAATTGATGGACAACAATTAGCACTGATGATTCAGGGGAAATTAAGAGGCTTTGGGTCCAAGGTTATCAGTGCAAACTGTCTTGGATAGGAAGGCAAAGGACAGCTCATGAAGTAAAGAAACACATTAATCTAGGTAGAAGGAAAAAGGGGTGAATTAGAACTGGGACTGAAAGAGCCAGAAGGCTTAGCAGTAGAGAGAAGTTAGGGTCTCCCTTCAGTATGAACCAAAGTAGAAATCCAGGGACCAGACTTGAATGACCATTTCCACTGTGCTTATTTGTACTGTCACAGCTTACAATGGACCAGGGACAGATGCAAAGTGCACCCGCCAAACTCTACACCTGTTTGAATACTTCTGATTATTGTAGATATATTTTGGGAACATAAAAATCCTCTTGCGGATAATAAAACAATATTTGTTTTAAAGTTGTTACCTTCAAGAAAGCCAGACCAAGAGTGCTTACCTTCTACGGGAACTCTACTTTTCAAAACTGTAGCTACAAGTCAGTGGCAGCAAAGATCAGATGCCTGACATTCCAGCTAGGCATTGTTCTCAATATCCTGGCATTTTGACACCAGATTCCCTATAATGTGGTTGCTGCCTCCCAATTATCTCCAAAGGTAGTTCCCAGATTGTTTAGGTTTAGGCCAACATTCAAAGAAAGGTTAACACCTTGTTATATGAGACATACTCTCTCCTGACTCATTAGAGAAGGTTTGAGGGCCACTTCTGGGAAAAGCTACTTTATTCCACTCCAGTTCTCAAATCTCTTAATGCATTTTTATTGTGATAAAATACACATAATGTAAAATTTACCATTTTGCCATTTTAAAGTATACAGTAGAACAGCATTACGTACATTCACAATGTTGTGCAAACATCAGAACTATCTAGTTCTCTTAATGCATTTTTTTAACCTACTACCCAAACCAGAAAATGGCCACTGAGTTTTGAAAAAAGTTGGGGATGACAGCATATGCTTGAAAAACATTTGTTTTACAGAAACATGTCCTAAATCAAATACTCCTAAGCATAACAGCTAAACATTAATAGGCAAGTTATTCACCTTCTTGTTCTAAATCCATTCTAACACATATGAGCTAAGAATTGCAATATATATTATTTTCTCTTTATTAGAGATAACATATAGCAGGCCTACATCATTACTCTTAGGGTACTGAGAAGAAGTATTTCCAACCTTGATATATAAAATATATCATTTAGGCATTCCTAAAGTTTTTTTAAAAGTCATTTTTTCTTTTTCAATTACAGTTGACATACAATAGTGTATTAGTTTCAGGTGTATACTCTAGTGATTAGACATTACATAACTTACTAAATGATCATCCCAATAAATCTTGTAACCATCTGACTCTATACATAGTTATTATAATATTATTTACCATATTCCCTATGCTGTACATTACATTCCCGTGCCTATTCTGTAACTACCAATTTGTACTTCTTAATCCCCTTCCCCTTTTTCACCCATTCCCCCCAACTCCCCTCCTATCTAGCAACCATCAAAATGTTCTCTGTATCTATGAGTCTGTTTCTGTTCTGTTCTTTTTTTTTTAGATTTAGTTGTTGATAGATATGTTTATTGCCATTTGATTGTTCATATTTTTTATCTTATTTTTTCTTCTTCTTTAAGAAGACCCTTTAACATTTCATGTAATTCAAGTTTGGTGGTGACAAACTCCTTTGTTTTTCTAGTCTGGGAAGCTCTTTATATGTCCTGTGATTCTAAATGATAGCTTTGCTGGGTAGAGTAATCTTGGTTGTAGGTCCTTGCTTTTCATCATTTTGAATATTTCTTGCCACTCCCTTCTGGCCTGCAAAGTGTCTGTTGAGAAATCAGCTGACAGTCGTATGGGAGTTCCCTTGTAGGTATCTAACTGCTTTTCTCTTGCTGCTTTTAAGATCCTTTGTCTTTAATCTTTGGCATTTTAATTATGATGTGTGTTGCTGTGGGCCTCTTTGGGTTCCTCTTGTTCGGGACTCTCTGTGCTTCCTGGACTTGCATGTCTATTTCCTTCACCAGGTTAAGGAATTTTTCTGGCATTATTTTTTCAAATAAGTTTTCAATTTCTTGTTCTCTCCTTTCTCCTTCTGGCATCTCCAGGATGTGAATATTGGTATGCTTGAAGTTGTCCCAGAGGCTCCTTACACTATCCTCATTTTTTTGGATTCTTTTTTCTTTTTACTGTTCTGACTGGGTGTTCTTTGCTTCATTATATTCCAAATCACTGATTTGATTCTTGGATAATCTTTTTTACTGTTGATTCAGTTAGTGTATCCTTCATTTCTGACTCGCTCTTGTTAATGATTTCCATGTCATTTTTAATTTTGTTTCTCACCAAGTTTCTTGAGCATCCTTATAACCATTGTTTTCAACTCTGCATGTTAGTTTGCTTACCTCCATTTTATTTGGTTCTTTTTCTTATTCTTTCATTTGAAACCTGTTTCTTTGTCTCCTCATTTTGGCTGCTTCTCTGTATTTGTTTCTATGTATTAAGTAGAGCTACTACATCTCATGGGCTTGGTAGAGTGACCTAATGTAGTAGGTGTTCTGCAGGGTCCAGTGGCTCAGCCTCCCTATTCACTCGAGCTGGGCATTCCAGGTGTGCCCCCCCCCCACCGTGTGGGCTGTGTACACTCTCCTGTTGTAGTTGGGCCTTGATTGCTATTGGCACCTCAATGGGAAGGATTTAACCCCAGGCTAATTGACTGTGAGGACTGGCTAGGACCACAGTGGAGGATCAGCTATGGAGGGGCCCACCCCATGAAGCAGGACTTACTTCAGTGAGGCTTTGGGGCCAACTGAGTCTCTCCCTTGAGTGTGTTGTTTTTGGTGGTGCTTCAATATGGTGTGAAGCTTTCCACTGAGTGTGCTAGCTCTGGGGCCTCCTGAGAGGTACAGGCCAAGGTCACCTGCTACCTGTGTTCTCCTCAGGGCCTCCTGGCATGAGCTACAAAGTGATCTGTAGATGCCTGCTACTTGTGCTGCACTTGGAAGCTCCCAGGAGAGGCCAAGCTGTAAACCAAGGCCTGCTTCTGCTAGTGTCAGGCCTAGGGTCACTTAATGAGATTTATGGGGCCAGATGCTGCTTGTTTGAGCGATTTTAGGAAAGTCTGTAGCATGAGCCAAGACAGGCCACTTGTATAGAACAGCCACTAGAAACAGCTTGGGTGGGTCCAAAAGTTGGGTGAGGTGGGGTCTGAGGGAATTGCCAGGGTGGGCCTAACAGCCTTAGTCAGGTTGATGGAGACTCAAATATGGTGCCTGCCTGAAGGCTGTGTGGGTGAAGGGCTCAGAGAAGGAACAATGGCATCTGCCAGCACTTCTGTCTGGTAGAAAACGCCCCCTCCAGCTCTTGCTCTGATGCCACACAATTCAGTTCCTCCCTGTATGTCTCTGGTGCCTTTCAAGCTGCTACCCCAGCACTGGAGCTCAGAGGGAATGAGTTTGAGTAAGTCTGTGCACAGGCCATTTAAGAGAAACTTCCTGGGACTCTAGCGGCCCTCTGTCTCACTCAGCCACAATCCCTGCTGGTTTTTACAGCCAGAAGTTACGGGGACTTCTCTTCCTGATGCTAGAACCCTGGGAGGTTCCTCATGGGAGACCTCTGAAGCCAAGATATCCCTCCCAATTTGTAGCTACCACATGTGGGTGTGGGACTAGCCCATTCAGCATCTCTGTCTTTCCTACCAGTCTGGATGTGGCTTCTTTATATCCTTACTTGTAGGACTTCCATTCGTCTGGACTTCAGGAGGTTCTGAATGATGGTTTTCCTATAGGTTAGTTGTAATGCTGATGTGATTGTGGGAGAACACAAGTACCACATTTACCTATGCTGCTATCTGACCAGAAGCCAGCCTTCCTAAAGCCTTTAATGAAGTGAAATGTGATCAATAGAATCTGACTTTTCAGTTTATTTTCATTATACTATTAAACTAAGAAATATTCTCTTGGTGCCAGTATGTCTAGGCCTTTTTTTCTTTTTCTACCTTCTTTTCATCTTTTTGTGTGTGTGTCTAGGTCTTTGCGTTTGCTGCATGTTCTATGAATTGAGCAAGTGTGTGTGTGTGTGTGTGTGTGAATGTGCTACTCCCCTGAATTCCTCTCTTGTTCATGATTCCTTTGAGTAGCCCAAGAGTTGGGGCTCATCAAGTTCACCATTTTATCTTTGCCTGGTCCAAGTTGCACTTCTCAAGTGACCAGTTCCCTTCTTTTGATGGAATGGTCATCCTAAGATTTTTCTTACTCCCAGGAAAATTAAGAGACAGATCGAGGCATCCTGGCTCACCTAGCCAAGGGCAGGACACTGATCTGAGCTAGATCTGCAGTGATCTGCAAAGGCATTTCCCTTAATGCCTTCCCATTATGGAGTTGGCCTGTGGTATTTGCTGGTTTTCCCATAATGACTAACCCTCCTAAGAATCCCCCAATCTACCTTCCTGAGCCCCCTTCCCAAAGGGCCAAAACAGTAACTTTGGAACCCTTTTAACAGTAACTCTTTTAACAATAACTTTGAACCTCTGCAAAAAATAAAGAATAACAGAGTGAAAGTCAAGGAAGAGAAAAAGGCAAAGAGGGAAACTGACTAATATCAACAGATGATTTTGCTGGTCGTCTGATTCAAAGACTTTTCTCTAATAACATATTAGAAAATATCCTTAATATGTTGCTTTACCAGTAAGTTTCATCATACATACTTTTTCTTGACAGTGATTTTGATAGTTGTTTTTTTGTCTGAAAAGTAAAAAGAGATTGATTTTATTACTTATGGTTAATAATTTATGTAACTTTACCCCAAATTCCTAATTATCAAATCAGATTATCCTCTGTGCTTGGCAGTTTTCTCCCCAGCAATTCAGAGAAGAATAAGCTCTATTTTTTGTCTAGCCCCCATATTTAGCTTCCTACTTAAATAATGGGCGCTATTATACTATATAGGACATGCTCTATTACTCAGAGGTATAGAATAATTGCTGCATAAACAGTACAGTAACAGCTGCTGCATAAACTACCATCTATCTGATATTACTACTCTTGATCCACCCTAGCCATATTTGTTTTGTAGTGAGTTGGGAAGAGCATGGGGTGGGAGAGAGAAGTGATGGTCTAGTCCTTTCTGTCTGCTCTGCCCTTATGTCATTTAATTTACTTTTTCCCCCAAGGCCTACAATTCAATTTTGAGAAATACTGCCAGACTGTGATATTGCAACCTAACTTCTAGTAGGAAAAGAAAACCTTATAGGTCACAGGTCTCAGGTAGGGTTAGGTAGCAACAGCCCATCTTCAGACCAGTACCTTTTTGTAGTATGGGATCTGGAAGATAAATGCTGATGTCAGTGGCATAGTTCCTATCCTTTGGTTTCATATATTTTTCTAAAACCCAGTTTCTTAGGCCAACTCCAGCACAATTTCCTTCTTGTAGATTCTCTGCAATCTAACGTGTCCAGACTATCTATCTATCTATC